TTGTGCTCTCTCTCTCTCTGACAAATAAATAAGTAAAATCTTAAAAATAAATAAATAATTAATTTAATTAAATAAAATACAGGAGAGTAGTAACAGGCAGTATACTGTAGAAGTTCAGAACACAGGCCCTGCTGTAATAAGACTGCCGAAGTCTACAGCCCACATTTGACACAGTCAACACAACTTGGGCCAGGTGGTTGACCGCTTTCTGCTTCAGGTTCATCTAAAAAAAGATAAAAAGAGTACCTACCCCAAAGAGTTTTGGAGAGGAATAAATGAGTTATCCATGTAAAGGGCTTAGAACAGTGCCTGACACACAGTAAGTGCTCAATAAATACTAGCTAATATTAGTAAGATAAATAATGGGTGGACTAAACATGTTTCAAGCAATGAGAAAAGAGATTTTAGGTAATTATTAGAACCTTTTGGAATGCACAGGTTTTTCACATGTCGTTTATACTATATTAGACCATTTTATGATATAAACATCTCTTTTGGTGGTTCACTCCCAATATACAGTCACTTGAGAAGGCCAAAATAAGCTAAGTTATATTGCACCTTCTGAATCAAAATCTGGGATAGAGCCCAGAAATTTATTTTTAAGAAAAATTTCTCAGCTGATTCTAGTGTGCAGACAAGTTTGGGATCCACTGATCTTGATGGGGCTAAAAGCTCAAACTGTCCTTTAAAACTTTATCCCATATCTCAGATCTGCACACTAACCCACACAAATGTGTAACCATTTCCTGCCACATTTGTGGCCAAGTTTGATTTATTTAAAAAAAAAAGTGGAAGTGGGGGTTTAATTTAAGAAGAGTGTTTCATCATAGTTAAATACTGCTCTGCTGGTCTGTTAAAGTTCAAAGTCTTCTAATTATAACTACTCAAGAGAACACTCTGGTTATGCTAATGTCATTGGGTATAATAACAACACCTTATATTTGTCCAGACCTTTATATGGCATTCTATCATTTTATTTCTTCAAAGCTTCAACTATAAAGTATGTAGAGCAGTGATGATTCCATTTTACAGATGAGGCATGAAAGGGTTAACTGCAACAAGTGAAGCCACAAGAAGGGCACACATTCTCTAACTCCCAGAGCTGTTTCTCTTAACTTTGTTTGCTTGTTCTACCCAAAGAAAAAGAAGATACCAAAAAATACTTTCTAAATGCAAGAAAACTCAACAGAAGGAGAAAACAAAGTCTGAGTACTACAAGTTACTGCTATGAACTATCAAGAAATTATATTTTTCCTTCAAAATGTAATCATATATCCTAAAATTAAAAAGAAAAAAAACTCTGGCTTTTTCCTATTTATAGTAAATCAGACTGGAAAAGAATAAATTTGAATGAGAAATTACTCACTAAATTGGATGGAAGCAAACAAACTATAGAGATGAAGAGAAGTCTCTAGCCTGTAGGGATCTGCCCAAACAATGCCAGAACTGGAACAGGCAGAATTTGCATCACTAGCAGGATGTTTTCAAGAGTCAAAATCACTATAGCCCCTTTACAGTAGTCTAGACCTCTCTCAACTCTTTATATAACATACTCAGGATAAATGGAATTAATTCTGAGAAGCAATAACACAAAGACATTTATAACTATGGGAAAGATCAACAGCATTTCCTTTCATTGTTCATTTCTAGGCTGCATAACACTAAAGTTCTAATTGCTAATTATTTTAAAAATGCATTTACATAAAATGAAATGTTTTGTAATTATTTTTGAAATACAAATTATTCATTTCCATTTAATTCTGCTAGATTATTAATATAACTCATTTACTGCACTTTATGTTCTTACTAAAATACAACAAATATTAAAGATTGTATTCTTAACTATATAGTTCAATGTTAATCATAGAGGTTAAAAATGCCAGGAATTTTTTTTTTTTTTAAAGTAAATTTTTATTTATTTTTTGACAGAGAG